CCAGCTGTTAGCAAAAACCACATCAGAGCTCACAAGCTGGCCCTGGCGTGTGCGAAAGTCATCTTGAGGTTGATTGTTGAAGTTTCCACAAAGACCGCATGTTGTATTCTGATAAGTGTAGGGCAAGCTGATCTGGACATAATGATTTGTGTCATAAGACACCACTAAACCAAAGTCAGTGCTGACGACCACAGAAAAACCTGACTCATAAACTTGCACGGTGCCATTGCTAAGGGAGAATGGAGTGGATGCAAAGTTCCCATTAACCTGTAAAAACACCAGCATACAGAAAGAGTAAAACACACATGTCACAAACACATATCACCGTAAGTTTAAACTTGATTCTTATTCCATACCTTTGCCTGACCACGACGTCCTTTGACAAGCTCAATTGTGTCATTGTAGACATGCACTTTTACCAGTCGTGTCCAAGAGACTTGAGTACTGCCTCTGTGCTCATTTTTGCCTTCTACTCTGTAGTAGGGCAGTCCACTATTGCATTGCTCAGAGAGAACATAGGTGCAAGTGCCCTGAAAGTGGAACACTGTGTCATCAAAGGTGTAGTAATGAGGATCACCACTTATGGTGCAAGTGCGTCTCTGCACTGTCTGGCAAGAAAACTGGAAGGAAGTTTGCTGGCAGATCTGTGAAAAGGAGCACGGCTGGTTGCGGCACTGCAGGCCTGCTGAGGTGCATGTGCACTTCTGTGCACAGGTCCTGTCACTCCAGAAGGAATCACCAAGCTGCACTGGTAAATCTTTGAAACAATAGAAAAATGAATACTTTACATTTTTTTACTTCAACTTGAAGAGATTCTTACTACTCAAACAGTGTTCATTTTTAAATTTTAGGATTCATTTTTGTTTATTGTTTTCACAGAGTGAAGATCAAAAAATGAAGGGCTAGAGAGGGGGGATTGTCATTTAATATAATAACATTCTTCTCATAGAATTCTCGTAGAATTTTGATCAGCTGGCTATGATGATTGTTCTCTAGTTCAGATCTTACTGTTGAAAGTACAGCCTCTTGATCCATGGTCTGTCCTGAAGGCCCAGCGACCGGGCACATGGACATTGCTGCTGAGACGGAAATTTGAGAACTGTCCTGTTGCGTTTTCTGAGAATGATCCAGGGATGGAAAAATGGTGAACAGAATTGATTGTGTCATATCCAGCCTGAAAATGACATGTCACACTGTTAAAAATAATTGCATGGTTATTTTGTATTTA